AATGATAAGACCTGTGAGTGGATGTAGAAGAGGTCAGAGTAAATATAGATGGTTTTTTAGTTTTAAAGAAATTCAGATTGAACATAGTGAAAACTGTAAATTATAGGTGTCCGTCCAAAAGTACTTTTTATTATGTGAAACTACCTTGGATGATGGTAGGTAGATAAAGCTTTTAGGAATCCAAAATACCAACATATAATAAGTACCCTGTGTCCAAGATTGATGCAAAACAGTGACAATTTGGACCTTTTTAGAGAGGTTTTAGCAAAAGAAACTCACCCTCTGAGGTGATATTGGGTGGAATGGGGGTTTACTGTTTTCTGGAGCCATTGGTCGATTTGCGTGATTGCATCTCTCTGACGTTAGAGCCAATATAATCGAGAGGAATCTCCCACTCACAGCACATGGTAAAGACAAAAAAGCGTGGGGGCTTCACAAAACAGTTTTGCATGAGGTGAGCTGTTCTCTAGCTCTGACATCTGAACCAAAACGCAGGTTATTGCTTCATGGGATTATCAAAATAATTCAAAGGGACACAGACCATTGGATTAACCTGATGGATTACTTCAGCAGCGTTTTTATCGTTTTTAATGCATGAAGACACTTTTGACCAGACTACGACAAATGAGCCAATGTTAGCGTTTTTTAGCTACCTAGCGCCATGATTTTTTGATGTCTGTTCTTGTTATTATCTCCGCGAGTTCGTATAATTGAGTGATAATGAAGGGTACCCTTCGATTCTTTGTCACCTCACGATGTGAAGAAATGTCATGGATATGCAGCAAAGATAAATAATAGGGTTTTGTGAGTGAATTTTGGTGCAGTCATCTGTTAACATTTTTCGCTAATTCAGAGCCTCAGCGTTAGCAATGTGGGGTTTTTTTTGAAAAAAATATTAAAATGATCAGTTAGATGAGTTTCTTCCTTCTACATGGATATAAAACATTCATAGTTTATTAAATGAACACGCCCTCAGACACTGTTTCTTTCAGGATGTTGCAGGAGGGCCCCGGTACCGGGGTCTCTCGGGCTTAACAGGTTAAACTGTGTACATCCCTGGAGGTTTAGGCGATAGGAAACACATCGGTGTTATCAAATTTAAAACATGTAATTACTAAATGGGTGAAAATCGCTTGTATCCATAATGGGCAGCATTAATATATACCCACATGACAGCTCATTGTTTCTTTGTAATTCTACTCCACTACAATTCAGAGGTTAACCTGGTATTTTTACTCCACTACATTTATTTTAGTTACTTTGCAGATTCTGATTAATGATGTGAAATATAAACAACCCTTAAATCAGACTTTAGTTACACCTGAGTAAAATTCAGGGAAGGTGATTGTCAAATGCCAACAATCAGGCGATAGTTAGTGCTTGAGAAGACTAAACATTTATCTGCAGATCCCTATAAAGTATATTAATTACTCGTTAATTAAAGACTGTATATAATGGCTATTTTGCACATCCCTTTCAACATTTCAAGATGTTCTAAGGTTTATTGACATATCATATACACAAATACGGTGTAGTTATGCAATGAATGTAGTATATATATGTAGTTATGCAATGAAAAACTTGGGTCGCAGGTTCCTCAACAGTGCATTACAAGAGGTCTATCAATATGTGTGTATACCTCCACCATTAAACTGTCATATTCTGCACATTTCTTATACTATCTACGTACATAAGAGTATAATTAATATGTATAATATCAGTTAAAATAAGTGCTTCAACATAGTTAACATTGCAGGAAAGCAATATATTATACGTACTTTGTCAGGCTTAATATTTATCTGTAGATACCCCCAAAGCTTTTTTCTTATTTAAAAGAAGACCCTAACCTAAAGTATTCTTTAATGTTTAAATAAAGGTTAATTATTTTTTATTTTTTTGCACATCCTCCTATTAATATCTTCGTACATCCGGCACTACTGTTTCATTGTAGAGATCGCTTACAGTATCTCCCTTGATTTTTTTATATTCTATATTTTCTATCTTGACCTTCTACTGTCCCCCTATTTTGTATGTAATATAACTATTCAACAATTAACATAATGTGCTTTAACCACCCTAGGCGCTGCAGGTTAAAAAACTGTCAAGTTTACAGTGGAGTGTAACCCTAGACTGTATAGTATAAATTGTTATATATTAAACACAACTAGTATATACTTTCCAGTATAAGGTTCCAGCTTAGTTCATGGACGGATGTATTTTGTTATCCACACAAAATTATTTATTTGAACCTTACACTGCAACAGTCAAAGGACAGGCGCAAACTGGTGAGAGTTGGAAAGGTCTGAGATGTTACAAATAAGGTACCACACGATACAATGCCATTAACTAACCTTTATATTTTAGTGTTAGGACACTTATGACTTACTGTATGGTATAACATTCTGAAGATGTGTAGTTTGTATTCATGTTTTCAATCTTTTAGGGATATTGCTATGTTATTTCACATGTTCGTTCTTTCTACACATTATAGTTGATTTGTTAAAACATCATTAGACAGGAAGGTATATCCTGTTCATTTAATGGTAAGCTTTGTGTAATTTGTGAATCCATAGATGTGTCTCCCATTACCCAAAAACCCCTGGATTATTCTCTCCAACTCAGTTTATTTACATTCTTATATTAAAAGAAATCAGTAAGATCTTAAAAGTCCCTGTCTATAAGCCTGTGCATCCGGTCTATGGTGTAAATATGAGCGCTATTTACCCGGAATTGGGATCCAATATACAAAGGCAGCCAAATTGAGTGTTGTACTGCAAAGGAGCATGTAGTGTTGTGTGGAAAGAGAAATTGAAGAGTTGTTTATTGCGTTTTATATTTCATGATTCCACGTCACTTATTCAGTTTCGTGGCAGTTGCTTCCGAGTTGGGGTATCTAGAGTCTCTCTCTAATCAGGGCTTATAAATAAAGCCGGACTACGGCGCGATGTGGGCAGGGGATTTATGCAAGCCGAACTGTGTATTACAATGCCGTTATTGATGACTGTTCAAGGGAGGAAAGCAAGCACCACTCGGATTAAAGTATTATTTTTCTTATTTGTAAAGTGTTTGTTCGGAATCCTTCATTAGTCGCATAACACACCATATCCCAACTTGCATGCGGCTAAAACATCCATCATCGGAGGGGGCTGTAAACCGATAGCTGAGGATCTTGCGGTAATCAGCTTCGGGTGAGGTGTGTATCCAATGACTGCTGGCGAAATGTCCCTTAGCTTTAGGCGCATACGTCTGTTTCCATGTGCCTTATTGTTGGGATTTCAGTTCCAGGAGAGACTGGGCAAAAAAGCCAGAGATTATAGAATCAAACAGAATAAATAAAAACAAGGATAATTGTGGTTATTGTTGGAGTCAATAACAGTGTGTCGTATTTAGAAAAGAATAACAAATTAAAAGGAAAAAAAGCATTAAAACAATACAGATTTCAGTATTCTGAGACTCTGAGCCCCAATTTATTTTCTCCCGGCGGAAAAACACAGAGACCGCCAATTATAGATTTAAAATAAAACATAATCGTGGGCACATTGATATGAGTAGAACATGGTTTTTTGACCCACACGGCTTCGGTCTGTCCAGGACCGACGGACAAAAAAGGCCGGGTGTAGGCACGGAACATACTACCAATAGAATACATTGCTTTTGTAAAATCGCCCTGTGTGACTCGAGAAAAGCAAGAAAATCATATTGTCCCCGGCGCGACGACAATAGGATCAATGTCGTGATATAACAGAAACCGGAACTGTGGTTAGCGGTTGCACGGCGCGGCCACCAAACATTCCCTGCGGTTTACATGTGCGTATTAGTTGCGAACCCACGCCGCAGTGATCCTATGGTGTGTAGAGAGATTCTGGTGGCAAAGTTAAGAATTTTAAAACATTATTATGAATGACGAGAGATGTCGCGGGCGTGCTGCCCCAGCTGGCGGCAAAGGCCGTCGCTGCGGCGCCGCGCGGCGCGCTGCGCGCGCAGAGAACCCGCCGCGTCGTCGCGTGCGGGCGCCCGCGTGTCCGCGGCGGGCGCAGGGCTGGCCGTGTGGCCGCTGATTCAGAATTGGGCAAACGCCTTAAAACTCCATAAATGACCTTTGCTCTGGCAACATAAGCTTCACATGTTACATTAATCTAATTCCGAAAAAAACACGTCTCAGTACTTTACAATCGCTCACCATCAGTTTCTTGGACGAGGCATAAGGAAGAGTGATTGAAATGTCGATTATAACATTTCTTTTAATAACCAAGAGGCAATAAGCTTGACGTGATTAGGGAGGTGATATCTCTTAAGCCTTCTTCCTCTCACATTGGTGAGTGGAGGGTGTTTGTTCAAAAAAGAAGGAGGGGCAGCCGGTTGAGCTTCTGACGATATTGTTCCAGGTGTCTGCTGCAAAACAATGGAAGTGTAATCCTGTTTTTTGAGATATC